TCGGAGAATCGGAAGGAGACCCACTCTTTCGCTTCTTGTGGCTCTTCTTCTTCTTCTTCTTGTCCTTCTTGCTCTTCTTCTTTTTGTCCTTCTTCTTCTTCTTCTTGTCCTTCTTGCTCTTCTTCCCATCGTCATTTCCATCGTCATCGTCGTCGTCATGATCATCGTCATCATCGGGATTGCCGGCAGGTGGTTCCCCACCGCCTCCGCTCTGGCCTTTACCTGTGCCTGATGGATTCCCATTACCATCATTGGGGTCCTGTGCCGGAGATGTCGGTTCGTATTCATCGGCATCACCGTCAAGATCATCGGCGGCACCTGGCCCATCACGGCGGAGTTCGGTGGAAGCTGACCTGATACGTACCTTAGAACTAAGATCCAGGCCGGGAGGAGGACCGAAAACCGGAACATTAGAAGAACTACTCTGCTCACTACGAGATTTCAGTTCATGACGTAGTGCCTCAATGTCCCTCGACTGCTTCATGATGATCTCTCTCATCTCAGCAGCGCTCTTGTCCGCGTCCTCCTTCTGCTTGTTGTTCGTGACTTCCCAAATCAATCTGAGCTGTTCATACTTCTTTTCAGCTTTTAAGCGTTGAGCAACCCACTGCTGTCTTGCCTCGTTGAACTCTTTTTCTTTCGCCATTGCCTCTTGTTGGCATACGTTGATGTGGTTCACCGCGTCCTGATAGAGTCGGCCTTTTTCCTCGACATGGCCTGCTTGGAGCTGATGGATGATGGCGTCGTGGCGTGCCGAAGCATAGGCAGCCACTTCCTCCGTACTCGGACCTGTGTTGACCACATTCACCGTCTGACTGTGTTGATATATGTTCGGGGCGCACGCATGATGTTGATGAAGGTGAGTCTCATTCTTAGTCATGTGTGCATGCATCTCTTGCCCTGGTTGATGTCCGGCGAGAGGTTCCCCTCCGCTTCCAATTGAATCCTCCGGAAGGACGACCGAAGTGATGGGCACAAGCGCATCACCTTGGTCGGACTCGGGAAAACTGCTTCGGGAGCGCTGCGACGGATTGCATGGCGTTTTCCCTTCCGGATGCCCACCCTTGATCAATTCGTTGGCCACTGCTTCGTTCATCCTTGCTATGGCAGGGTGGCATCCGTCGCCGCTTGACGCCATTGCGGCGCGGGTGAGAGCTGACTGTACAAGGTACCAGCGATACGGCTGATAACCTGTTGAAAGGTGGAATCTACCTAGAAGTCAGCACGGGCGGCAGCTAATTTTTCTTGAGCCTTGAGCCATGTATTATGTCGGAATGCCACTACCTATCAACAATATTGAACCAGGAAAGCTGAGCATGTTGGACAGTTGGCTTCTCCAGTCTCGGTTCAAAGCCTCCCTTGGAGGGGAAAGCGTTTCGAAGTTTTCCACGTTCTTGTCCTCCCAAGTTCAAGGCTTAGCAAAACTGGCATTAAAGGGTTGTGAGTGGACACTTGTGGAAACCAGGGTTGGGGACACCACCATAAACGGAAGTCAATATACATCCCTCCCACATTGGACACCTGGAAGTTTGGAATGTTGGGTGTCTTGGAGAGTTTAGGTCTTATTGCGCTCATTGCGTATTAATAAAACAAGGACGTAACATATCACTGTATATTGTCAAACCTTGGCCCATTTCTTCCTGGAGTTTTAGTTGGGCAATAATGATCTACCTCTTCTCGTGGAGACAAATTGGCCCATGATGTTCCTGTGTCGAAGCAGTTTGGCTTTGGGAGCTTAGTATACTGTGTTGGTGCGAAGCCACCGCGACACCAAGGAACCATGCCCACTATCACGCTGATGAGAATGCCGATGGCAATCTGGATTCTGCATTCAACAAGAACTGAATGAAGGTATGCTCATCCTGGCGCCCAGAATCGCTGCTGCAGAATTGCTCTCGGAAACGGGTGTGTGTGTGTGTGTTGTGTTGTGTGTGTGTGTGTGTGTTATGTTATGTTATGTTATGTTGTGTTGTGTTGTGTTGTGTTGTGTTGTGTTGTGTTGTGTTGTGTTGTGTTGTGTTGTGTTGGAGACATTGTAAACATATTGCGACATGTTTTTTGAACAATTTCTACTGCATCAGCGCGTGACCAGAAATGGCCCATTTCGTGCCCTGGAAAGCCCTCAATCTGGGCTCTCCCGCGGCTTCTCCACCGGCAGATCACAGGAATCTGCATCGGGGCAGGGCAAACATGGACAAAAAACCAGTGGAATGGTCCCGGGGGAATGGTCCAGCGCATGGGTCGTGGACTGCGTCTGACGTGTGCGTGGAAGTGCCGGACCGGAGACTCCCGAAGCCCGAGGTCGGCTCACGACTGCGAACAGACGATTTACGTTGTCCCTAAAAGTGGGACAAATCGCCCCTCAGCCAGCGGTCATATTCCAAGTGCCCGTCTTCTTGAGTGGATTGGCCAGCGAGAGCCAAACAACGTTTGGTGTTCACCACTAAAATGGTTCAAGCCCAAAAAGCGGCAGCTCCAGCAGGACTGGGAGTGAAAAAGAGGGTCAAAGGCCCTCTCTAGCAAAGATGCTAAGACCTGCACCAAGCCGCAAACCTTGACCCCTTCCAAGCGCATGGCCCCAATGTGTTCAGCTTCTGGTCCTTGTTGTCCATAGTCTACCCTTAAATAAAAGCAGAACATTTTTGGAGACCCCAGATTTGGTCAAGCGGCTTCTCCCGAAAACTCACCCAGCCCCCAAAGCCAAAGCTACAGACCCCTCCGCCCAGCCCCTCCTTGGGGTTCATGCCGACCCCCTTTAAGGCCCCAGCTTTTTTTGTTCTCACGGGGGTTCCCTTTATTTTAGTTTATTGTATTTTAAAAAAGAGAGATTCCTTTCTTGCAGGAAAACACTCCCCCGGATGAATAAGGGGGGGCTTGATACATGAGGGGTAACGGGGCAGTTGCTTGAGGCTCGCTACCCTTTTGTGGGGTTTCCAATCTCGGGGGTTCCAAGTCCCGACCAGCCACAATGTTGACCCCATAATCAACCCCAGTCTATTAAGGGGGTGTTTTTTCTTGGAAAACCGTGAGGAATCAGACCACCTTTGGGCCCAAGAACCACCACTATGCAATAAACTGCGGTTGACTCATATTGGGATAGGGGTTTGCAGGGCCCAAACATTCCCCCAAGTAAATATGAAAAATCAAGTCCCCAAAGAATCTTTCACCTAGGGGTTTGGAGGGCCCGAAAAAAAATCCCCGCTTGGGGAAGTAGTGGTTGTGGAAGCGCCCCAGTCAGGGCCCATCTCAAGCTCAGGGTCACTTGGCATGCTGGGCTGGCTGGCGGTTGCTTTCTCTTTTTGGTACTGCTGCAGGGATGGCCCCAGTATCTTGTTGGGCTTGCTAACTGCAATTTCCACCCAGCGTTTGCCCTCCTTTTTGTCAAGCGAGCTGCCTTCCCCCCCCAACCCAATCGAACAAAAACATGGCCAACAAAAATCTTTGCCCAGCCGCCCATAGCTGGGGCCTTTGGGCTCTACGAAGGACATGGGGTCCTTGAGGTCCGGCTTCCAGCCCACCTGCCAGGCACCAGGCTCCAGGCTTCACCCGCTTCACGTGGAGCATTCAGCAACGGGTTGGATCCCCCGCAGACAAAAATACGACCCCACGCGCATGAACCCATAAACACCCGTAAACACCCGTAAACACCCGTAAACACCCATAAACACCCATAAACACCCAGAAACACCCAGAAACACCCGTAAACACCCAGAAACCCAAAACAAACTTAAACTCACAAACCCATAAACCCACACGCCCATAAGCCCATGCCTTTTTGTGTCCAGCAAATGAGTCACAGTGAGCGTATGGTGTTTGAGGGCCCCACAAAGACTCACCCAGCTAACCAATGACCCTGGCAAACATGAACAAACGGTGCCAAATTGCTTGACATCTGCTCTAGTTATATGGCAAGGTTACACAAAATTCACTTGCCAGGATTTGTTGCTTTTCCTTGTGGTTTCCTTTTAAGCCAACCCACCAAAGTGTACCCTCAACAAAAAAGACACACCCAGTTGATTCTCTGGCTCTGGACTTCAATTGACCAGTCCCAAGCTGCAACCCAAACGCAAGAGTTTCCTTACTCAGCGACTGAGTGGGTCTTTCCTCGAGATCACATCTTGCAGGGTCGGAGAACCTGAAAGCTGGGTGCACGGAAGGTGTCTTGAGCAGAGTGGGTTGATTTAAGAACGGGAAACGGACTCAGAAAAGAGAGGCGTCGGACAGTGCGTCGGAAGATCTGGGTTGCGTACTATCTGGCCCTGTCCTCACCTCGTGCAACAAATAAAGACCTTTGCAGGTTCGTAGGGGAAATGGGACTTTTACAAACTTGGGTCAAGCCGAACAAAACATGGCACTCCAATTGTCACATGCGGCTTAGGGGATTCACCAAAAATAAAATAACATAAAAATGACACAAGAGTACAACAAGTGGACCAGGGTGGTGGAATCTACGAAACGAGTCAAACCGTTTTCTGGAAGCATTGGCTGTGGCTTCAGGCTGGAAATGAATCGACCCCTTTTGGACACACGGGACGCAGGGTGTATATTAGCTGTTTGGAGTGGATTGTAAGCACGATTAGACAAGTGGGGCAGCTGGGGTTGGTTTACTTATCTGGCTGCGGGTCAAAAATGGGTACCCAACATGGAATCGTGGGAAATGGAACCATGGAACTAAAACCTGCGTTCCCCTGGTGGTTTAATTTTGACTCGAATACTGGTTAAATGGACCCAAAAAAGCCCCAAAAGAGCTCAGGAACCCGGATGGCTGGGAACTGCCAAGTTACCATGGTTCTCACCTAACCAAGTAGGATTACATCACTTGGCCTGTGCTTCATGTAACACTAAAATTGATGCAGCCCTGGGCCCTTGGTCCAAAATCCCACTTAGTTGGAACGGGGGTGGGAGGATTGTAAAACCAAACAAAGTCATGGAACAAGTAAGAGAATCATGTGTGCTTTAGCCCATCTGATTGCTCTTCAAGGGTGGGCTCCCTATTCTGCTCACCCGTGGTTCTTTTCAGACACTGCCCTAGAGCCACGGCCAGACTGGGAACCCATCCCCAGCGAGCGAGCCTTAGGCACTTTGGCGCAGGTCGCATGCACCTCGGCGCCTAAGCTGCGCGCGGATCGCTGATGGAAGGAACAAGCTGCTGGGTTGCTCATCCGGCTCAATCTCACTGCTTCGCTGGCCATGGGAAACCCAACTTTGGTGAAGTCAGCCATGAACGGAAGCTTCAACTTTGGTAATTACCATGGTTCTCAACATTGGTGAAGTCACAAGCTCAAACCTTTGCCATTCTCGCGCTTCACCAGCTTCGTATCAAGATTGCTCCTCCAGAAAAAATAGGCTGATCATCTGGCGAAGAAATGTGGCACAGCTTCTTGCTCTCGTCGTAAATGCCAACGCTTGATTATTATTGACTAATCTGGAGAGCCACGCTCATCAGTTTGGTTCCCCTTGAGGAAACCGATCTATTTGTTATTCGAGGGGACAACTCTGCATACGGCACAAAGTCCGATATCGACACTAACCTCTTTGCCCGCGACTGGCCATTAGATTGCTCCGAAGCAACAAACTAGGAACGTTACCAGCCTTCCCCCTTCCCCGTGAAACTGACTGATGATGACGATGATGATGACGACGATGATGATGAAGCGCAGTGTTGAGCATTGCGCCTTGCGTATTTTAGACCAAATTCAGGCATGATCATAAGAGCATAATGTCTCACTTGCTGAAAGGACCAGGAAACAAAGGGTTAGCCTTTTGTACCCTCACAAAAATTCGAACGAGGATAACCGGTCGGCTTTGGACTAGTGAGATGACTGTACCGACTTGTGTGGTAGTCGATTTCAATTGGACCCCCTCGAACGAAGTAAACAAGAGGGTAGGTCTGGGGTGATTGGCTGATCAAGCTACTTGGTAAGTAATTTGTATCAATAGCTACAAGTTCGCCAACCAGTTGTCCCACGTATAAGCTTCGTTATGACTTACTGTAGACAAAACAAAAAGATCCATTTGTAAGCCTCCAAAATCAGTTGACGCCGCTTCATAAGACTCATCCCTACTGTGGATGGACGAAATCCTGCACCACCTAAGAAACCCTGGAATGATGATTCCCCTGTAAATACCAACAAACAATGGTTTCAACCATGGTTTCCAAGTGGTGCGAAATGGATTTCGTCCATCCGCAGTATTTCAACAAAAAGGAGCCATCTTTCGGCAGTTGAGCTCGAAGACAACTGAAATAGGTCATTGCCCGAGACCCGGTGCCAACAGCGAGGCAGTCTCGCCACTCTTGGGGTGTTGTTGAAAATATGGGCCCCTGCTGGGACCTGGTGCCATGTTGTGCCGTCTTGTGCCGCCTTTGAAAGGGGATACCCAAAAGGGCCACGTTTGGCAAATCTTCTCTTGTGCTTTGACCACCCCGACAAGGACGAGTCCTCAGGGTCGCCTCTCAGAGTACTTCCTCCCTTCTGGCGTGAGTCAGCTGTGCGCAGCGTTTTGACCCCAAAATGGTGGTTGTCCTTTGGGTTCCCTTAAAACCAACCAATCCCAAACAGGGCTATCACTCACTTCCCGAGTGCAGGGGCCAAAGCAAGTCCTCAAACTTTCTTAGTCTTCCACTGAAAATGCTCCAAACCCGAAAACTGGCTAAAGCTCCAGGACCTCAGAAAACGGCGACCGGACCGTGGTGGTCCTTTCCCAAACACGGCGACCTCTCAGCCCACCCGCCGCCAAGTGGCAGCTCTCCTCTTCCGGGTCCCGGCAGGGCAGCCCGGTGGAGGGATCCGGCCATGCCCGCGGCCTCGAGAGAAGCCGCAACCAGAGCTTTCTTCCAGGGTTGTATGTGGTGTAACAAGCAAAACTAATCATAACAGCAACCAGAATGAACAATACCAACAACATATTATTAATAATAATGCTAATGATAATAGTAATAATAATGATAATAATAATAAGAAGAAGAAGAACAATAACTAACACTAATAAACGCATTGGGTTGCATGAAGCAAATCATACTAACCGCATTGGGCCTTTATTAAACAAACACGCTGTTTGTATTTTTTGTTTAAACATATATAGTAAATGTTCAAACAAAAACACAAAAACAACCCAGCTTACGTTCGTTCTTTTCAGTTTGAGCTAGGAATGGTCCATAGCCAAACATAGGCTGTGCATGGGTTATGCTTGATGGCTTCATGCTGGGGGGGGGGGGAGTTGCTTGGATGTCCAAGCGATCCAGATCTTCTTTTAGGATCCGACTTCAAAGGCAAGGAATGGGGGTCTTTGGCGACGGTCTAAGGCTCTTACCTGGTTGGCATACAAGGACCCCAATTCCACTGCTTGGGACCCCTGTTCTTGTTCTTGCAAAAAGAGAGTCTCGTCCGAAGTGGATTGGGATTGGGGCAGAAGTCCAGACTTTCTGATCAACATAATCTCAAAACATGTTGAAATCTGGTAACTAGGGGAAGCCATCCAGCGAAAAACCTAGAGTTTAAACAAACATATGGCTACGTATGATTTTCTATAGTGGGAACTGGGCGAGACTTGATTATCTTCTAGAAAAACAACAGTTGTTGTTTGCTTCATACACACACAGGGCATGTCTCCAAATGGGGAACCCCCCCAAAAATGGATGTGTCCATTTGGTTACCCTTCAACTGCTGATGTCATGGCGAAACAAACTTGTTGCTTACCACAAAATCGAAACCCTAAAAGTGGCTAAAGTCCAAGCAGTGATGAGTAAGCTCACCAAAGTTTAAATTACCCCCGGTAGATGTTCACATGGGTCCCCTGTAAACAACACAAACAAAGGGTTCCCTCAAAAGACACCGAACGCTTGGGAGCGCTGGGGGCAACTCGCAATAGAGTTGGACGGAGTGTCCGAAACAAACAGAGTCCATTTCGACCCAACCCCCAGTGACTCTCAATTGCTTTATATTAACCGAGGACCAATACACCCAAGGACCCCCTGCGGGCCCCTTAACTCACCAAGGTGCCCCTGCTTGATATGAACCGAGGAATACACCCCAGGACCCCCTGCGGGCGTTTGCTTCACCAAGGTCCTGCAACCTCCAGGACCCTGGGTATTGGGCACTTGGTAAACATGAGTCACAATCAAAACGTGCTACTGGGGACTGGGCGCCTCTTGGCTGGGACTGTCTGACCTTCACCACTTGGGTCTGTGATTCACATCTGCAATGTTTACAAATCCAAAACCTGAAATAAGAGTTGGACCTTTGCGATATCAATCATGGCTGTCACTCGTGTTACCAAAAAGTCGCCATAAAAAAAGAAGAAGGTATGGGTACAGCATGAGGTGCTTGCCCCAATCATGGGTAACTCCCCTCAGGCTTCAAGGCTCATCACTGTCAAACGTGTCATTGTGTGGCGCCAGCACGCACCACCTCCACCAACCGTTGCAAACTATCAACCGCACTCTTGCGAGCTTAAGCGGACACCGAGCTGCACACAACCCTCGCCTGGTACAGCGTAGGAAGGAGCTGACATGCCGGTGAGCATGGACCTCCTGAAAGAAACGGCTGTCGAAGGGGGTGGCCACAAAACATGGCCGCCTTGTTTCAACCCCACCGCCTTGCGCCTTGCAAATTGCGATTCTTCAAGATGGGGCCCTAGTCTTGACCCCGCAGCAATGTGAATGCATCTCAGAGGATTTGGAGGTTTCTCAAATTCGGCAACCTGAAAACCTGAAGTTGCTGCCTTTGGGTTCCTTTGGCTTCCTTTGGTTTCCTTGAGCCGCCAAAAAGGGACACACCACTTTGAGAAGCCAAGCTGTCTCCAGAAGCACCTGGACCAAATCCGCAGGCACCTGGGATTGATGTCTGTCGGCCACGTCTTCCTTGACCGAAAAGATCCGCTACATATTGCAGGTAACACAGACACAGACACAGACACAGACACAGACACAGACACCCACACACACACACACAAACAAAGAGACACACACACACAGAGACACACACCCAGCACAGGCGTATGTTCTTGTTTCGTATGGGTCTCGAAACAAGGGGCAAACCCGCTTCAACACAATCTCCAAAAGGATATACCAATCGTTTTGATTGCACCACAAAACAAGGATTCCAACGCGGAAAGCGGATCCAAGGACACGATCCTGGGTTTCAGTCAGTCAGAAGGCGTCCAGGAACTTGTCCCACTTGACTAGTCGGGTCTTAGGGCTAGACGGGAGGGTCCTGCGCCCCAGAAATGGATAGGATCATCCCTTGTGCCAGGCCCAAAAACCATTTTACCGGGTCTGAGGTAGACAAGGTTCAGATGATGGCACAAACATGGGTTCCTCCCAATAGCTCACTCATGGGTTCCAGAACCAAGTCCCTAGTTCAAGTGGCTCTCCCAGATCTCGTTGCACGACTTGACATTTGGATGATTTTGGCCGAATTTTCCGCCACTTGCAACCAGCGGGCCTTGAAACATGGGACTTCAAAGGTGTGCCACAAACCTGGCTTCGATGAGAACCCTCCTCATCGAAGCTGACAGGTTCTTGTTCTGGGGGACCCGAAATGGTGGACATTTTGGCAAAAAGACATGACAAACCACTTTTGCGGAGCATCGCAGATTTAGGGTCCTGTTGTCTTTTCTCTCCTATTGTCTCTCCTCATTTAAGGTACCATTCGCCATAGGGGGTAGAAACAAAAACACAAAACTGTCAGGCTCCATGTTGATTGGTGGGAGGGTACCCATTCCCTTTTGGTTTTCTTGAAAAACTCGACCAAATGGGGCGGAACTGTGGACAACTCATGCCCTTGCCCCTCCTCGAGCACAGACAAGCCCAGTGAGGCTCGCATGATGCGCCGAAGAAAGAAATGAGGCTGGGTCACAATCAGAACCAGGTCTGAAAAATGTTAAAATGGTCTACCCAAAACCAGGTAAAGAATCAACAGGTCAGATATCCGCGCCTTATGTTTGGGACTGTTCCTCACCTTGACATACCCGGGCTTTGATTGACGACTCTCCTAGCCATGTTTTCCATCCGCAATTGTGGTCGGCTCTTATTCTTGGGTAGCTGCAAGTCCGGGGATCCCGAAACAGTCGTCATTCCTGGAACTTCCGCTCCGAAAAGATGAGTGACAGAGGTTCCGACATGCAAGCTTGATTCGGGAGATCCTGACATAGTCACTCACGAGTAAAGTTGCTGTCATGTGTTGTTCGCTCGTTGCTCAATGGCTGTAGATTCAAGCTCTCCCATGTTTTCCTGTTGGCAATGCAGCGGGTCTTGTTGTCCTTATTGCTTGTTGGACACAACAATAGCGTGCAGAAATCCGTTGTTTGTGTATGTGTGTGTGTGTGCGGTTGTGGGTGTGGGTGTGGGTCTGGGTGTGGGTGTGTGTGTGTGTAAGTGCGTGTGCGCGAGCCTGCAAGTTTCAAAGGTTCCCCAAACACAAACAACATGAACATGGAGTAGGAATAAAGGCAGTCAGGCATCCCAAGATGAAAAATTCTGCAGGCAGCCATTTATCAATCAAGTGGATTCCCATGATCTGACAAACAGAGGTCTCCGAGCCTTTCCATGCTCAATCAGGCCTACGTTCGCAGGCCTTTCCGTGTGCCAAGTGGCAACGCCTTGAGCAAGAATTGCTCCAGCGGATGGGCGTTCCACGCCATCTGTGGTTGCCCCACAAACCCAAAGGGTTTTTTCGGCAACTTCTGAAAACTAATTTCATGGGGCCAAGATCCGGTTTAAGTACACCAGGGTAGTCGAACCCTCTGTCCCCCGGATTTGTGTGGCTGACATTTGGTGAGTCAATTGACCACAGATTCGGACCATGAACTTCCTTGCCAGGTGACCATGTTCTTTTTGATTGAAAATGCGAGTGGACCATTGGCATGACAGGTCTCTCGAATCTTCCACAGGGCTCCCACCTCAATGCCTACAAATGGACTTGGTCCCGAATCTTCAGGTGAGGGGCAAGAGAAGTTTCTGTGAATCAAACCCTGGTCTTGCGGACCACGCTAGGAGCCACTTGGGCCCAGTCTTGAACTTGAGGTGCCCGCTAGTCACCCAGGTGGGTTACCCTCAACAACTCGAGCAAGTGGAGGCCAACCCGTATGGCCAAACCATGATTCACAGACCGAAAATGTTTGGGAGCCGTGAGTGAAAGGAACCTTCCTGGCTGACGTCGCAACCAACATCCCACCGTGACGTCACGTCATAATTTGCTCATGCTGGTTGGTCTCCATGTGCTCAAGTCTGGCAAACTAAAACAATGTTTCCCAGAGTGAAAGATTCTCTTTAAAATCAACAAGTCCTATTCTATTCTTTCCCAAAGGGTCGCTCGGTACCTTCTCAGAATATACTCAGGCCTCAAAGGGGTATCCTCACAGGGTCATTGCCAAGGGACCCTTCGGCTAAAGCAAATGCAAGTCGGAAGACTAAATTGTCACCTAGAGGACTTCTCGTGGCTCACAGAAAATGGCAAACTAAAGCCCAAAGACTTCCCACATTCAATTCTTCTAGAAGGGTCCTCTTCCCAAGACCAACCGGAAGAAAAAACACAACGACCCCACATTCTCAAGCAAGTTGAGTCACAAAACCCGATAAAAAACATGGATGGTAGTAATGGACACTCGCAGCCATAGGGTGCGGATCGATCTTTAATCTTGCTGGTTCTCAGCAGGGGATGCGGGAATGACCCTTATAAAACAACCCCTTGTGGTTTCCTTCAAGGGGACCCCTGGGTTCATTCCAAGACCCAGGAGGTTTTGATTGTGACTCAATTGAAGTTGGCTTTGTTGCTGTTGACCCCTCTGCAAAAAGTGAATAACTTTTTGTGGGTTTAGTGGAAAACCCAACTTCATTTCCCAAAAAGTTAAAGTCTAAGGATCCAACCCAACAGCAGTCAAGTCGAGTCAAGTTGGAAGGGCTCAAGTTGAAGCTGCCAAAACGGAGTTCGCTTCTGCGCTCGCGACCGGGCACCCCCGCGATCATCAGCCACACCGGCCAAAAGAAGCTTTGCGCCAAAGGCTGCAGCCCCGTCACCTGATGACGGTCTCATGGATGGGTTTTTTTGTGGGGGGGGGGAGAGGGACCCCGCCCGTTTTTTTGGTGGGCTCTCTCACTTCCTGAGTGGAAACACAAATCTGAACTTGGCATTTGCCGCTCAAAATGGGCTTCGCAGAGAGTATCAAGTCCAGGAACTCAGTGTCAGGCAGTTAGTTGTGAAACCCACCCCCACAAAATAGGACACTCAGGAGCCCTAGGGATGTCCATGGGAAGAAAGGATTGGCAACTTGCTCCTCGGTTGAATTCCAAGGGGGAACCTTTTCCGAACAAACAGGTAGGTAGAAAGGGCAGAACCCAGAGGGCAACTGCGGTTTACCCGGAGTCTTGTGTCGGCCCGAGATGGAAATAGGGATCGCTGCCAAAAAACGTGTGGGTCATCTTTGGCCCAAGCTTTTTTGGGGGCAGCCGTGTTTTAAATAAGCGTCATGCGCTGCCGTAATAAGCCTTTCACTTTCAAGAGGGTTTCAACATCGGAGTCCGAATTGGCAGGTCCAATGGCGCACCTGTTCAAGTTTGCTTTTGTGGTCTTCGGGGAAAAACACGGGTCCCGAACGAGCTCTGCAAATCCCTGTGAGTTTGTCTCTTTTCGGGAACCCACAAAATCGCTGTTGTCCTTCTGGCTTTCCCTTTAAACCCTCCAAACATGTCGAACCACCAAGTCTATTGGCCACTTGAAGTCGTCCCACAGAAATGCAACAGAAGCAACCCCCCCCCCCCAACCATCCATTGGCGCGACAGGATGGTGGCGAAAAGGGAAACACTGAAAACACTGATTTGAGAAGCCCTCAGAACGTGAAACCTTTGAGGGACCCCAACTCAATTAGATGTCGTCCGCCATCAGCAGAACCTCGATTATTTGTTTACCACACGCGGACCACCCCTGCTTTATCCTGGGCCACTTAAGGAGACCGGTACATTTGAATTACCTTGCAATACTGTCAATCATCCAACATCCTTGTCCCAACGCACATCTTCAAAAACAAAGGATCCCCACACATTACCTGAACAACACATTTGCATCTCCTGTCCCATACCTCACAAACACCACCAGCGAGGAAAGGGAAACCAAAGGACACTGGGCAAGGTGATCTAGGTCCTCCAGTAGAGAGGTTAGAATAAGGATACTCTTTTTTCTGTGGTCTATTTTAGTAGGGGAACACTCCCCCAAAAAGTTGGTAAAAGGGCACTACTGGGGGACCTAGTGATGACCTTTTGCGTACGCGTCAAAAAGAAAACCCCCTCCCAATGACTAGCTCGTGTCTGGTTGTCCATTGAATTCTCCCCAAGGAAAAAGGCCGCCGTGAAAAAGAAAGAACATGGGAACAACCCAGACACTTGTTGGCCCGTTCAGTCGCAGGGAAACCTCCAAGAGGATGTGCAGGCAGCCACTCATTATTTGTTTTTCATCGAACGGGAATCTATTAACAAAAGACTGTTGTTGGGAGAATGTGGCTAACATGTCATGGGTGGAAGAGTGGAAGCTTACCTAT